TTAAACCTCTGTCGGATGTGTCACTGGTGAAGATTTTCTCCCATTCTGTGGGTTTTCTGTTTGTTTCTTTGGTTGTCTCCTTTGATGTACAGAAGCTTTTTAGTTTAATGAGATCCCATTTGTTAATTCTTGCCCTTGTTTCCTGAGCAATTGATGTCCGGTTTAGAAAATCCTTTCCTATGCCTATAGCTTGTAGGTTTTTCCCAATGTTTTCTTCTAATAGTTTCAGAGTTTCAGGCTTTACATTGTGGTCTTTGAGCCATCTGGAATTGACTTTTGTGCAGGTTGAAAGATGGGGGTTTAGTTTCATTCTTCTACATGTAGAGATCCAGTTTTGCCAGCATCATTTATGGAACATGCTGTCTTCCCTCCAGTTCATGTTCTTGGCCCCTTTGTCAAATATCAGGTGGCTGAAATTGTATTTACTCATATTTGGATCTTCAATTTTGTTCCATTGGTCTTTGGGTCTATTTTTATGCCAATACTGTATTGTTTTCATGACTATAGCTCTGTAATACAGCTCAAAATCTGGTATAATGGACTGATTCTGGTGTGAGACTGAAGCCTTCCTTTGTTGATTTGAAATTTGATTTTGTTCGTATACTTGATGTACATTGTTTGTTTTCTTAATGGGTATGAAAAGCTGGTTGGTCTAAGCTTCCGGTTTTCTGTTTTGATTTTATATTGGAGTGGCCAGATTGCTTTTGTCTTCAGGAGTTCCCACAGAGGCCCAAGTCAGATGAGGATCAGATGCTCTCAGGCTTTCGCCTAAGGTCTGGATTCCTCCAGGAATGATGTTGTCCTCAGGAATTTGGAGTTGGACTGGCCTGGGAGCCCGGCCCAGGAAAGATGCTGGTCTTGGGCAGCTGGTGACTGTGACATCCAGAGATGCAAAGGGAGATGGGGGTGTGAAGAGGCCACAAGGGCCCCTGAGGGCTGGAGGGAGGAACTGTATTGGCCTGGATGCCAAGGATCAGGAAGCAGTGGTGGTTCCCCTGGTGTCTGGGGCGCCAAGACAAGGAATGGGATAGTACCCAGGTTAGGAGGAGAGATTGGCGGGGGAGGTGGGAGGGTGAATGAGGCTGGGGGAGTCAAGGCGCGGAGGGAGAGATGGTCTTACCCAGGAAAAAGGCTGGCATGTTGTGTAGGCCCACGGAAGCAGAGCGAGGTGAGGGTGGTACCAGGCCCAGAGGGCTCCTGGGGTGCGTGAGAAGGAACTGGGTTCATCTGGATGCAAGTGATCAGGAAGCAGTGGTGGTTCCAGCCCCAAGAGGTCAGCCCTGGTGTCCAGGAAAAAGGCTGGTGGGTTGTGCAGCCCAGGGAAGCAGACGACCAATTTTTGTTTTTTTTAAATTAGCTAACGTTTGGATACTCCACAAAAGAAATGGAGCTTTATATAACCCTTTCTTCTCAGAAATAATGTCAGATATCATAGCTTTTCTGTTGAGATTTTAGTGACTGAGAGACCCATTTTCTAGTTTCATGACTCAGCTCATTTTATTCATCCTGTGTGTACTTTGCCTCCTTTCTTGCTTGGACCAGGGAGTTGATACCACAGTAGTAGAGATAGTCAAATCTGTGTGTTTTTAAATTGGTTTTTGTTTTTTTTCTACAATTCCAGCCCATGTAGTTTAGTTCTGAGCCTTGGGCTCTCCTCCCCTCCCCCATTTGGGGCTGGAGAGATGGCTCAGCAGTTAAGACTACTGGCTGTTCTTGTAGAGGACTCCAATTGGGTGCCCAGCACATAACATGGAAGCTAACAACTTACATTCATAACTCCATTTCCAAGGGATATGTTACCCTCTTCTGGCCTCTGCAGGCATTGCATGCATGTGGTAGACTTACGTACATGCCGGCAAAATACTTACACACATAAAAAATATTTTTATCTGCATGAGTGTTTTGCCTGCATGTATGTAAGTGCACAATATATGTACATAGTGCCTTCAGAGACCAGAAGAGAACCCCTGGAACTGGAGTTACAAACAGTTGTCAGCTCTCATGGGTGCTGGGAACCAAACCTGGGTCCTCTGTAAGAATAGTAAGCACTTTTAGCTACTTACTGATTCATCTTTCTAGCCCTCAAATCTGTTCTGTTTTTTTTTTTTTTTAAATTAATACTCTTAGAGGTGCTGGAGAGATGACTCAGCAGTTAAGAGCACTGATTGTTCTTGCAGAGGACCTGGGTTCCATTCCCAGCACCCATGTGGTGAATAACAACCATCTGTAACTCCAGTTCTAGGGGATCCAATGTTCTCTTCTGACCTCTGAGGGCATTGGGCAACATGGGTGCACTCACACAAATACAGGTAGTATACTTGTACACATAACTTAAAAATAATAAATAAAATATTTTTTTAAAAAAGAATGCTCTTAGAACTGGGCGTGGTAGCCATACCTTTAATCACAGCACTTGGGAGGCAGAGGCAGGTGGTGCTCTGTGAGAGCAAGGTCAGTCTGGTCTACATGTCTAGATAGACAGTACCAGGCTAGCTGGGGCTGTTGGGAAACCCTGTTCCCAAAAAGAAAAATAAAGAAAGTATATTCTTAGAGGGGCTGGAGAGATGGCTCTGTGGCTAAGAGCACTGACTGTTCTTGCAGAGGACCTGGGTTCAATTCCAAGCACCCACACAGTTGCTAACAGTTCCAGGGGATCTAATGTCCTCTTCTGACCTCCACAGGCAATGCATGCACATGGGGCACTAACATACATGTATGCAAAACACTTATACACATAAAGTAAAAATAAAATAAATAAAGAATACTCTTAGAGGTCTAGAGTATAACTCAGTACTAGAGCACTTGCCTCCCATGCATGAAGCCTTGGTTTTGATCTTTAGCACCACGATTAAAAAGAAAATGTAAGAGGTGCTGGAGATGGCTCAGTGGTTAAGAGCACTGCTGTTCTTACAGAGAACCTGGGTTCGATTCCCAGCACCCACATCAAGGCTAACAACTGCCTGTAACTCGTTTCAGGAGAATCCAATGCCCTCTTCTGACCTCTGGGGGCATTGCAGGACATGGTACACTTATGTGCATGCAGGCAATATACTCATACACAAAAAATTAAAAATAATAAATAGTATCAAAAAAAGAAAATGTAAGGACTGGAGAGCTGGTGTAGCCCTTTAAAGGCCTAGGTAAACAACCAAAATGAAAATGCAGGGAGGATGCTCCTAACATTTAGCTATTACATGTGGTAGCATATTGTTTGGCTGTCATGCTTGGGTTTGGATTTAATAAAGGTAGCTTAAATATTAAAGTAGTAACGAAGAACCATTTGAGTTTTTGGTACTAGTAAAAGAAAGACATCTGTTGAGAACCCTGATGTCATTGCTAACTAAGCTATGTTTCCAAGCTGGCCTTGGATTGCTGGATAACTCAAGTGATCCTCCTGACTCCCAGGTAGCTGAGACTACCGCATCTAGCTAATGTCTAGAAAGAGGGATTTCCTATCACCCAGAAGGTTGGTGCTGTCTACTTAGAAGCATTTTAAAATACCTGCAGTTTAGGGTTATGTTTTTAAGTTTTTTGTTTCTCTTTTTCTTCAACTTTTCCTATCATAAAGGAAATAAACATCAGGCAAAAGAATGTATCAAGAAAAACCAAAAGTGTGGAGATAAATGTTAGATCACAAATTAGCACTATTTTGATGTGACTTTAAACAGTAGTTGTTTGTGGAGTGGAGATATAGCTCAGTTGTTAAGAGTCCTTGCTGAGCAATCACAAGGACCAGACTTTGGATCCCAGCACCCACATAACAAGCTGTGTATCCTGTCTACAGCTATACTTCCATCTCTGAGGGATCACACACCCTCTTCTGACCTTCACACACACACAAGGTACATGTACTTGTACATGCTTCACACAGATACATACAAATAAAATGAATAACAAATTGGGCCATTGAGAGGGCTCAGAGGGTAAAGCACTTGCCTTGGAAGCCCAGGGACCTGAGTTTGATCTCCAGAACCCATATAAAGGTAGAAGGAGAGAACTAACTCCACAAAGTTGTCGTTTGACTTCCATACTTATACTGTGCCACCTGTATCCTCCTCCTACAACCCCCCCCCACACACCAATAATTGTTTTTCAGGGCTAAAGTTGCCCAATGTTAGAGTACTTGCTTTGCATGTATAAGAAAGGCACTGGGTTTGATCCCCAGTACAGGAAAAAAAGTGTATCATTATTGTATACATTTTCTTCTAACATTCTTTCCTATGCATGTGTGCGTGCCTCTTTACATGTTTAATATTGGAGTGATGTGTAGTTGTAGTAGTAAGTACATGGACTTGTGTATCCTAATATTTTTATTCTAAAACATTTCTTATACTGTTTTTTTCCAGTACTAGAAATTGAACCCAGGGGGTCCTGCATTCTAGGCATGCTCTATTGCTGAACTACATTCCTAGTCCTTATAAATGTTTATTATGCCATAGTTTGCTTATCAATCTCAATTTACTAAAATTTTGGTATTTTTCATAGTTTCCTGACTTATAAAAAATGTTGCAAATGGCATAATCTCTCCCTTTCTATGAAGTTTTTAGTTAATCAACACACAACTAAAATGTGGGGTTAAAGAATAAGAATGTTTTCAGAGAAAGCAGAGATTCTAACTCTCTAACTTAGGAGTTGCTGTGAAGATGCAGAATGAGGTAACAAACCCTAGAGTTATCCTGGACTCACCTTTCATCTTAAATGTTTCTTTAGAAATGGCTCACCAAAGCACCAGCCAGAGCCTCCCCCTCCAGTAACAGATGTAAGTCTAAAGCCAATATCAGTTCTTTGTAATATGTAGTACTCTTGTTCTGACTGTGATTTTGTCAAATGCCAGACTGTTAGGGTCTATTACTCCTTCATGCCCTTAACAAATGTTTACTGAATTTCAACTCTGAACCAGAAATGCTAGCAAATGGAAATACCAAACAAATGGTGCAGGACCCTTGAACGTTGTTTTTGTTTGCTTGTTTGTTTTTAGAAAGAATTTTGCTATGATTGTACAAGCTGTCCTTGAACTCATTATGTAGTCCAAGCTGGCTTAGAATAACCAGATAGCATAGCATAGCAGTCCTGCTTCCACTTCCCAAGTGCTAAGATTACAGGTGTACACTACCTCACCTGGATTTTTATTTATTTAAGACTTGGATCTCAGTGTGTTGCCCAGGCTGGTCTCATTTGGGCTGTGGGCTCAAGTGATTTCTCATGTAGCTACTGCTGTAGGGTCCCTTGAATTTGAAGAGCTTAACAGTTCAGTGGGAAAATAAGGATGGGGTTCTTTCTATGTATATCTTTCACTATTAGAGACACTAATGTGGTATAAACAGTTGACAAACTAGGCCTGTGTGCTTGTGGGGGTGTTTGGCTGTGTGTTACCTAATGAGGTAGCAGATGAATCTATTCAGTTACCAAAAAATGCTTTTTTCCTTCCAGAACCTCTTGCCAACAACCACACCTCAGGAAGCACAGCAGTGGTTGCATCGAAACCGGTTTTCCACATTCACAAGGCTTTTCACCAACTTCTCAGGTTAAATTTGATTTTCCTTTTGCATTCCCCAATATGGGATCTTCATTTGCATTTTAGGGCCCCTCTCTCTCTCTCATGTTTTGTGTGTGTGTGTGTGTGTGTGTGTATGTGTATGTGAGAGAGAGAGAGAGAGAGAGAGAGGGAGAGGAGGAGAGGGGGGAGAGAGAGAGAGAGGACATATTTGTGTTTATTCTGATAAAATGAATTTCATCAAATACTTTGGACTTGTCAACTAGCTGCAACTGTATTGTGGATAATTAGAAGTACTTCTTAGTTTGAACTTATTTTAATTTTAAAATACTTAGTGTACATTTTTCAAATAATATTTTTATTATTTTTTCAGAAATAACTTGAAGCAGGTTACACAAAAAAATACATATACAATGAAGTTTAGGGTAGAAAAGTAGGGATAAGAAATCAAAGACCAAAGCCTGGTATGGTGGCACACATCCTCAATCTCAGCACTTGGGAGGCAGAGCCCAACAGATCTCTGTAAGTTCGAGGCCAGCCCAATCCACTCAGTGAGCTCCAGGCCAGCTGGGACTACAAGACAACCCTATCAAAAAGACCAAAAAAAAAAAAAAAAAAAAAAAAAAAATCAAAGACCAAAGGATTTTCCAACATGGGTTCAACTTTGGTGAAATAATGGTTTCATTAGCTCTGTTCTTTTTTTTTTTTTTTTAAAGTCCTAACTAGGATTTAGTTTATTGGGCTTGCTAACAGAGCATAGGGTGGGGTTTTATTTACAGAAGAGTGGGTGCCACCCCCCCCCCATTTACAGCTGCACTGGGAAGTCCACACTCAAATATAGAACCTGTGACTTCCCGACAACCACACAAAATGGCAAGAGAGATACCTCATAGCTTTCTCAGCTTATATATCCTTAGCCCCTCCCCCATATGCAGCTAAGGTCGACTGATTGGGTGGGAGGTGTAACTGACTCCCCCCTCGACTCCTTGAGGAGCTTAGGAAGGAGGTGTGACTATGGCTTGCCAGCATAGTAGTTGGATGATACTTCCAGTTAACATTCCACCCCTTCCTTTGGCTCTTACATTCTTTCTGCCAACCTCCTCCACAAAAGTCCTTGGAAAGGGTGATGGTGTGGGATGATCTTCCTCCCATTATGGCAAGGCACTGGACTTTAGGGTCTCTGCATCATCTGTTTTCCATGGGCTGTTGGCCCATTTCAGTGGGATTCCATCTAAGAATATCTAAACAGTGGCTGCTATAATAACCTATGGGTATAAACACAAATGCTTGTATGGTATTTTAACAGTTGTATCACAGCCATCTAACAAAACAATTGCAACTGGGGCCTATATTCTCCTCTGCCACAGGGGGTTGGTCTGGTCTACAGTACCAGATGTGTGGTCCATCCCTAGGAACAGGCTTTACATCCAATTGAAAATTTCCTGGTATACACACTAAACGCTCCACTATTGCAGCAGCAGGAACTTCTTGTTTAGTATGTTGATAGTGCAACATGCAAGATATGTCGTTGAGCAGAATTATAGCGGACGATTCTCCCCCAGTCATCTGTATATCGCCTTCTGGTACCCTGAAAGCCACCCATCCAGTGGCAGGGAGTTTCCAGATTAATCCAAGCTTGGTTTCTTCCTCTCCTGCACTCACATCATGCAGTGTTTTCAGCAATAGGGTTTTTCCAACCAATTCTGGTGTACAACCAACATTATTGGCAATGCCCTTTATTGTTTTGGCGAACTCTAGGGCCCCTCAGGCCAACAGCTCATAGGGGGGCAACTCACTTCTGGCACTGGGATTTTTATTTAACAACCGTATTGCTTCTGGAAGGGTTTTCTTCCATCCATGTAAGGTTCCTTCTGTACTTAAGGGTTCTTTTTAACTACTGCCCTTTTTTACATATTTCTCCCTTAGTAACACATTTATGCTACTATTCTCTGTAGGGTACCTTCTTTCCCTTTACCTCCCTGTTTCCCTGCAGGAAAACAACTGGTCCCTGCAGTTGCATTGGGTTATGCACTCACTTATCAGGGTTTGGTGCTAGGACCCAAAAATGAGGGAGAACACATGTCTTTTGTTTTTCTGAGTCTGTGTTGCTTCATTTTGTGTAAAAGTTTCTAGATCCATTTACCAGCAAATTTTATTATTTTATCTTTCATATATATATATATGTATATGTTTTATTTTATGTGTATGCACGTATTGCCTGCATGTAGGTAAGTGCATCTGTGTTGTGCCATGCCTGCAGAAGACAGAAGAGGCTGTCGGATTCCCTGGAACTGGAGTTATGGACAGTTGTTAGCTGCCATGTGGGTGCTGGGATTTGAACCTGGGTCTTCTGCAAGAACAACCAGTGTTCTTCACTGCTGAGCCATTTCTCCAGCCCCTATGTTATCTTTCTTTACTGATGAATAGAACTACATTGTGTAAATAACCCACATTTGCATTAACCACTCGTCAGTTGAGGGGCACTTAGGTTGCCATCTCTTAGCTATTGTGAAAAGAGCAGCAACAAGCATGGATGTACAAGTGTCTCTGCAATAGGACGAGTCCTTTGGGTATATGCCAAGCAGTGGTATAACTGGGTCATATAGTAGGTTCATTTTTAGTTTTTTAAGAATTTTCCACACTGTTTCCCATAGAGGCTGCACGAGTTTGCAGTCCCACCAGCAGTGAATGAGTGTTCCCCTTTCTCCACATCCTTGCCAGCATTTGGTATCATTTGTTCTCTTGAGCCTAGCCAGCCCGACTGGGGTAAGGTGGAACCTTAAGGTGGTTTTAATTTGCATTTCCCTAATTACTAACGATGTTGAACACTTTTTAAGATGTTTCTTAGTCATTTTTATTTCTTCCTTTTTAGATCTTTAGCCCATCTTTTAATTGGGTCATGTGCTTTCTTCTTTGTTTTTTGAGTTCTTTATGTATTCTGGATGTTAACCCTCTGTCAGGTGTGTCACCAGTGAAGATTTTTCCCACTCTGTAGGTTTTCTCTTCACTTTTTTTTAGTATGCAAATTTACTTTTGTCTTTAATAAATGCTAAAATTAATAAATTTTTACAAAATAAGTTTATGAATTACAATCAGTAAATGCTTTATTTATATGTCTATTTTATATACTACATATTCAGCGTCACATAAAAATTTCTTAGGTCGAAAAGGTCCCAGGTAAAAAAAACAAAAAAAGGTTATAAATCCCTGGCTTAAAATGGCACACATTTGTTATCTCATCTTTCTAGAACCCAGAATGCAAAATGGGTCCTTAGGCCTAAAACACAGGGTCTGCAGGGCCCCACTGCCTGCAGATTCTCTAGGGTGGAGTTCACTTCTGGGCCTTTCCCACTTTTAGAAATCTCTGTTCTTAATCTCCTGCTCCCACCACCATTTTATAAGCCAGTCCATTGGCACAATACTACTGACTTCCTCCTACCCTTTATAGTTCTTTCTCTGATCTCTCTCTCTCTCTTTCTCTCTCTCTCTTTCTTTCTCTCTCTTTCTCTCTCCCTCCCTCCCTCTCTCCTTACAAGTCTCCTTTAATTACTTCTGCCTGCTCAGATAATCCAGGCTAATTTCATCTTCACAGAAACATTAATTTCCTCAAATCTATGACATGCCTTTTGTTGTGTAAACTAATATATTCACAGAATCTAGGAACTAGATGTGGTACCTTTGAGGGATCATTATTTTCTTGGTCACCCACACGGGCCTAGGTTTAATGTAACTTCTGGTTTCAAAACCTTTCCCCGACAGTTAACTGTGGTGGCTTACCTCAGGTGAGCCATTAAACAGGGCATTTTTATTTTACCTGCCTAGATTTGTGCTTTGACCAAAGTTGAGGCTGCTTGCAGGACATAAAAGAATGCTTTTTTTCATCAGACAGAATGCTGACCAGCCAGGCTGCATCCCTTTGTTGTCACCTCACCAACTGTTCCCACCGTGGACACAGACTTTCTTCTCCCACTCACAAATGTTTCACTCCTCCATTTCTTTGGAAATTTGCTTGTTTTGATGTGTTTGACATGCGCAGACATTCAATGTTTATCCTATTCTTTCCTCACCATCAGTTCTGGCCATCAGGATCCAAAAGCAGCAAGCTGCTTAAGTGACTAAACCCGTTTTCTTCATTAACCATGGTGCCAGATTTCCAGCTTCTTTCTGAAAACTAGCTCAATCATGTGGCAAGGTGGACTGGAGCTGCCTCCAGGTGTACAGTATTTTCTCCCCCATGAATTATCTCAGTCTTACTCAGAGTTTGAGTTGTGAAGTTGGTAGAAAACAATTTTTTCTTTGTAACTTACATCATCGTGACCCATGAAAAGAAAAGATTGAAAAAACAGCCTCTCATGATTCTTACCCTTCATGTGCAGGCAGACACATCAGCTCTCTTCAAAATTTGAATATTTAAATAGCACTAAAGAACATTTTCTAACCATTTTTCAACTTTTTTTCTATTAATCTTTCAAGTACCAGACTGGATTCCCAAAGAGGATACATAGGACTTTATTTTCTGTTTTTCTAAATGTTTTGCCTCATGTTCAGGGGTTAGTTTTTCTAATTTTTATATCAAATTCTGTTTGTAATTATTGAATTTTGTATATTAAGACAAAATGGACATTAAGTGTATGTTTGGAGAAAAAGGTTAATTCATAAATAGGACAATAATTTGAGATTTATGAAATGTCAGCTTTATATTCATATGAAGATTCGGCAATTACCATTTGAACTGTTCTTTGTAATTTCAGAAAATGGCAAAAAAGATTATTAAGATTAAGAGTTAAAATTCTATAAGAGAAAGTGATTTTGCAAAAATAAATTTATAAATACATGGTCCTCTGTATTGACAGAAGTCCTGCAATTATGAGCTTTCCCTCTCAAACCAAATACCCTCCTCAAATATCAAACTACTAAATAATTCCATATTTATAATACAGACTCCTGCATACACCGGGCACTTAGTTACAGATTGAATGAAGATTTGTGATCATCTTTGGATGCGCATCATGGAAGTGGGTTTACATGTC